GCGCAAGAGGCGCGAGCGGCGCACAATTGCGCGAGAGTACCGGTTAAAAATGGATGAGGAGGAGTACACCCTGCTAGAGGACAAGGAGGTCATGGTGAGTTGCGATGACGGGCGGGGCATCAGCAAGGGCACACTTGCCACGTTTGTTGGGAATGGCCGCTGCATTCGACTTGGTGATGCGGTTTTGGGGGGGGGGGGCTGCGCCCTCGGTGGGACCTAGCACAGGGCGCCACCGGACAGCAGTCAGCTTGAGGTGCGCTGGGCCTGGTAGCGGCTGCTGCCCTGCAGTGCAGCTGCAGCATGTGAGCACGGTAGCGTGCGAGCTGGGTCGAAGCAATGAGGTCAACAGCTGCGAGGAATTCGCACAGGACCCCGGCAGGCCACGCCGGCCTGGCCTGCCGCGCTGCGCGTGCCATCCTCCTGCCCCCCCCCCTTGCCCTGTCTCTCATTCCCTCCAGAGGCCCGCCGGCTGGTGCAGCACAACAAGTGGCTGAAGCGGCGTGGCGACGAGACGAGGCGTGCCATGCGCACGCAGCAGGTCAAGGAGAGCGTCTTCGTCACCGGGGGCGAGGGTGCGCCGCCGCACCCTGCACCGCCCGCCGCGGCGGGGGCGCGCGCCTGGCGGCTTGCGACCGCGGGTTCGGCTCGCGTGCGGCTGAAGCACACTGGGCCGAGGGGCACACCTGGCATTGGCGCGTGCGGTGCAGTCGACGTCCGCCTTGGCGCGCGCGGAGTGCGTCAGCCTGACGCGGCGGCAAAGGCAATTTTGGGGGACTATAACCGTCGCACACACGCAGAACAGCAGAGGCTTCCTCGCATGCGCCACACGCACGCCGCCATCACACGTGCCTGGGAACGTGATGTGCTTTGTACATGACCCACGCACCCGGACCCCCCACCCCCACCCCCACCCCCCAAGACCTGGAGGATGACATTGACGAGGAGGGCCCAGAGCGCGCCGCGCCCGGGGCCGGCGGCGACCGCGCGGCGGCGGTGGCGGCGGCGGCGGAGCAGCAGTGTCGGCCACGTGACGCCGGGTGCTTTGACGATGACATGAGCTGGGCCCTGGGCGCGCTCCGCGGCGTGGGGCACCTGTGCTGGTTTACACATTCCTGAGCCACGAGGCGGCTATGCAGCCGACAGCCAGGCTCACAGGGATAACACCATGGTTGATGCTGAGCTGGATCAAAAGGCAAAGGGGCAAGGCAGTTTGCGTGGTCGCTGCTGGCTTGCAAGCCAAAGCCTCTGTTTGTACATGCACAACCCCAACCCACACTCCTGGGTGACCTTGATCCATGTCACTCGCCCGAATCCCCTTTGTTCCTCAATCCGCGCCGCTAGCAATGAGATGGACGACTTCATCGATGACGCGAGGGCGAGGGCGCGGGGCGGCGGCGGCGGCCCCGCGCAGCGGGCAGCGGCGGCAGTTGGTTTGCCAGCCAGGCCTTGGCGGAGGCAGCGCGCATCTTCGGCAACGCCGCGGTGGGCACGATGAGGGCGGCTGTCACAACGGTTGCAAACCAGCGTGATTTGTTTTGCTTGCAATGCCCTCCGCAGCTGATTCGTTTTTGTGGCTGTGGTCGTTGTGGCGCAGCCAGAGCACGGGTCCAGGCTGCACGCCCAGGTGTTGGCGCCGCCGCCGGCGCTCCCAGGGCAGCCGGCCCTGAGCCGCCCCCAGCCTGCGGCGCTGGCCACAACCACATTATTTACCCAGCATATCTCACCCTGTGACAATTGCACCAAGAAGTGCCTTTGAATCATCGCCACCAACCGCCTCGGCACAGCAACATTCCTGACCCCACGACTCAGCCCCACCCCTTGCTCGCAACGCCCATCACCCCCACCCGTGAACGCCAACCCACCCATCCACACCACGCCACGGCGTGACCGGACTCCGACTGTTCAACACACCGTGACACACCGTGACGTCATCACCACCCCCCTCTCCCAGCACCTCCACCGTCACGACCTGGTGGGCAGCCGCTGCGCCCTGACTGCGTCACCGGGGGGTGCAGATGCGGGCGGTGACGAGGGTGGGGACGAGGAGGAGGAGGGGCTGGAGGACGGAGACGAGGAAAACGAGGAAGACGAGGAGGCGGCGGCAGACGCCAGGTGGGGGGCCGCACCTGTGCACCCTTGTCTTGGGCACCTGGTTTGAATGGGTGTGTGATGTGGGGGAGTGCAGGGGGCGTGTCACAGAGTTGGTCGGTGGATGAGGGGCGGGCTTGGGGGCTGGCGCCCCATCTCCCTGCACACGCGTCCCTTCTCAAACAAAGCGAGCTGCCATGTCACACCTTCCTTCTTCGCCCTCGGACTGCGTCATCGCCGCCACCCCTCCCCCGGCGGAAAGAAAAACTCTTCTCTTTGCCTCCCAAACGCGCCGCCGTAGCCACGCCATTCATGCGGCTCACCGCCTGGGACGCCTGCAGCTAGCGCTGAGCAAGACTGGCGGCTCTTGATGTTAGAGGTCCCGCCGCGGCCTTGTGGCCTGGGACAAGCACCGGGGCGGTGGACCCCTGGGACAGTGCTGGCGTCCGCATGTGGGCAGTGGGCGAGCTTTGATTTTTTTGGCGGGGGGGTCAGGGTTGGGTCAGGGTTGCGGGCGCGTGTCGTGCGCCGACCCTGCGAATGCCGCTGCGCATGCGCTTGCGCTCGACCCTTTGCCCCTGCTGTCACTCACCTCCCTCCCTCCCTGCGTCTTGCCTTGCGCTGCTGCCCTCTGCAGCCCCCCCCCCTCATCATCAACCCTCCCTACGT